CTCCGGTCGTGAAATCTTCTGTGTGTCGCCGCATCTTTTCATAGAATTTTAGAGCTCTGCCCTTGTCGACCAGCTTCGCAAGCTCTTCATGCTCACGCGATTCGGTCCCTTTCTTCTTTCGTATGCAAATGCGTCTCACCTCTTTCTCTTCCCCTCTCGGTGTCTATCCCACTCACAACATTTTGAGGTGGGCAGCGCTGTTTTCTTTCCACTGCAGGTGTGTAAGTCGAGTGGAAAGTTGTTCGGCTATCTGTTGTGATTCGAGTAGATGTTAGTTCCACGAAACTTACGCATGTCTATAACTATGGAGATATGTCGTCCGTCAATCACAAGATGATCGTCCGTCAATCACAACACGATCGTTTTGGTTGCGTGATTTTCGATATGGCGACAGCCATGTAGCTTGCCGTATTTTCTGATGACGAAATCTGGTACTATAAATAACCTTATTTTGTGAAATCGATCGACCTCAGCCCGGAGTAAATACCCCCAAACTTGCACTGTAGTACATTGCAAAAGAACCAAAATTCATTCGTCCTTATCCCGTCCATAACATTTCTTTGACCGCGCTGATGTCAGCCTTTAGTCTTACGAGGTTATCAACCAGTTAAACAGCGGCACGTTCTCAGGTAAAGGGGCGCATATTCCAAGAGCATGAACCGTGATCTTGCAAAAGGAAGGTTTGTTGGCTACACAGAGTGCACTTGGTCTAAAGCTAGAAGTCGTGTGCTACCAGAACCACATGCAAAGTAAAAATTTCTAGCCATACCCAGTCAACACCTTTCATCACTTGCACGAAATACTACACGTAGTCCCATTCTCCTCTGGAATACTTTTTTTTATAATATTTTCAAAATTTAGAAAATAAACTAATTAATAAATTTTTAAATACCCAAATATTAAAAAAGAGTGGAGGACTATTGTTAGGATAGAGATGCCAAGCACCTTAATTTTTCATCTTTTTAAATCAAATTAAGAAAGTTTGAAATGATTTAAAATAATCATGGATCAGAGTATTTTCACAAGTTTAAGTACTAATTTGATCTTTCTCAGACTAGTTTGATTTCAATCAGGGCATTATCTTAGTAACCTACCACATTTCCTGACCAATTTGATATTTCTCTGTAGGGAATATGTACGTATGTATACGTGCTCATATGTAGGCCAATTAGTGTAATGCACTCATCGTAACTTGAAGTACATATTTATGTATGTCTTTGAGTGCACTTTTTTGACTTTATATGCAAACATAAAAAATAAAATAAAAATCAAAATCGAACACCCTTGACAATAGCTGCAGTCTGATACCACGCTTATCACAGCAAATGTGTGGTATATACATATGTTTGTAAGTATACAGATTTGAGTGTGTACTCGAAACTTTATATAATATATTGTTGTCCGAAATATGATTGTCTACTTATATGAGAGTTTTCTGATTTTTACGAGTGTTGATTGATTAGAATGCGGTCGTTTTACAAAATGCTTCCACCTTTTTATTGAAATTGGAGTGAATCATTGAAATTTTTTGTTTGCTATTTAATATTTACACTAAATTTATAAAAAATTAAATTAAATTTCATGGAATTTTTTGTTATTGTGATTGACTTGATAGACTAAGAGTCACCAGCTATAAATAAATTAAAAAAAAAAAAATAACTAAATAGACATATGTGCGTATGTAAGTATGTATGTATAAATGTATAATCTTATCAGTTTTCTGATTCGTTTTGGTCACGCTTTTATTAACCAATTTTTTTTTTTTTACAATAAAAAAGCAACGCATTTATTTTTAGTCGCTTGTCTAAACTCAATGCTTGGGACATACATACATATACATATTTTCATACATAAACACAAAGCATATTATGGGACAATTTTGTACACAAATAAAAATATATTTTTGATTATCATCAATGCAACAGTAAAAATATGCACTTCTAGTTTTACGGCATTTCAGCGATAATATAAGCAGATGATGTTGCCCTAATGATAGCGCCACAACCTGCTGGTATCACATGCATGCCGAATGGCCATTAGTAAAGACGACACATGGAGGAAGTGCAAGAAGGAAGCGATGGGTGAGACGTTATATCGCCGCCGCTGTTTCTGACCGGCCTTTGCTAGAAATCGTCTTAGATATCTAGAAGCTTCACACTTCAAAGAGTTAGATGAATTATCATAATTAGCTTTCTTAAACTTCGCTAAAACTGTGGACCTGATACATGACGACTACTTCAGCTTGTACTATATTAAACCTCCGTCTGACATTAAAAAGGACCGGCTGGTCCTTGAAAAGTCACCTAACTTAGCCTTTTAGAACTTGAATAGTAATTTGACAGCTACAAGACGTCACTTAAAACTAATTAATCCTGATCCCGTCAAAGATAATAAGGTGATAAGTACAATGAATCGACCCTAAAAGTGTATTGAGCTAAGTATTTCATGAGAGAACATTTTTATGCTCACGGAATGAGTGGGTTGTATAGCGTTGATTAGGCTCATTAAGATCGTGAGGTGTTCAGTGACTCATAATTGGTATAAATACGAGGTTTCACTGGTATTAGACAATTAGTTTTCGAACTATCGTTAAACAAGCAAAATAATTAAGAGTGAAAATTGAAATATGGAAAATCTCAATATTGTGCCGTTACAATACCATAATGAATGAGATGTAATTAGTTTACGACAACTCTTGTCCGGAATCTCTTAAAGACGTCCCGCTGGGCACGTCAAAGAAGTGACCAGATGTTGAAAAAATTGTCCACGACAATGCAACACTAATGAAAAAACAACTCACAGAAATGGTTGGAGTATCTGGTACGACCATATTTAAAATCCTGCATGATAATTTTGGCTTGACTAAGGTCAACGCAAAATGAGATTCGGAAATGCTCAACGCCTAGAGGGGTCACGTTCTTTTTATTGACCTCTGTAATGGAGATAAGGATGGTGTTCCGGGTCGAAATGTTACTGGAATTGAAACTTGGGTTCATTATAAAATACTGAAAGATAATTAAAAGTCATCAGCTGAGAAATCCATGCCAACGCTGTAATGAAACTCGGAGAGAATGTCATTTCCATAACTGGAAAATTCTACGCTTCAGACGTAGAGCAACCAGAGGAAGCCATTATTGAGGAAAATAAAATGGCACAGTATAAAGGAAAACAGTTTGGTTTTTTTATTACCACCTCTAAACCCCCATTCCGCGAACATAAAAACGATCCCTCGTACCTTCATGAAAGTATGGATTTACGGTACTGCTTAGTTTTTTTGACGATTTTAACCTAAAATCTCAAAGGTAAAAAATCGATTGTAAGAGGGCTATTTGATATATTTCCCCCAATTCGATGATTTTCAGTGTCAAAATATTGTATTTATCTGTTTAAAATAAGTACTTTCACGCTTTTAGATTGTTTTTTGACGGGTTTATGAAATCTCATATCTTAAAATCATTCTTATAGTTGTCCTATCTGAAATATGACCACCTCCTCTTTCTGATTTCTTTGGTATGAATGTTGATGCGCCTCTCTCTTTCTCTGTTTTCCTAACGACCTTAGTTGATATCCCATATCATGTGTGAATTTGAGCCAACTGTATTACGAAGGGATCTGCAACGTATTGCAATTTTTTGGTATTATAGACTTCCGTCAAGGATATACAATAAAAGTAGAGTTCCTCGTTACTAAATGGAATTAACAGTTTTCTTTATGATTTTTCTGAGGATCACATGCATACCTATGTTTGCCAGGGGTCTGAAGAAGATAGATCGATAGGTCAGGGACGAAGTTTAGCCAAATCTAGATACGCCGCCCGAAGTAAATATTTAACTATATATTCATTATTATTCCAAAATCATTAAATTTTCATTTCTTCGTTTGTTTTCAAAGCTTTTTCTACACAAAAACTTACATTGTTGCAATTGAAGTCTCTCCTCTCTCATTCCACAGTTTATCTGTCATGCTATGTACATACCACTGAATGAGATTAAATTAATGCAATTTAAATTTTTTTCTACACAAAAACTTACATTGTTGCAATTGAAGTCTCTCCTCTCTCATTCCACAGTTTATCTGTCATGCTATGTACATACCACTGAATGAGATTAAATTAATGCAATTTAAATTCACAAAGTTCAATAACATTACACACCGTTAAACGTCAATGCTTCGATGAGCCAATGATGCACCTGCAAATAGTTTAAGTAAAATCATTTTTATTGCTTTTATGAGACATTTGGCAATAAGTAGGCAGGCAAGCGATACGGTAAATAAAGGTAAATGGGAAGAAAATTTCAAATTCAATTTCGACTGCAATTCAACGTCAGCAAATACGCCACCCGGAGACAAAGCAAATCGTGTGTACAACATCATTAACTCACTCACTCAATCACTCGCCCATTCCGAATTCCACTGCCATCAAAAGTTGCTCGATGTTAAAGGGGCAAATGTCATTTGTCAATCAATCGATGCAACGATTTTTTCCCCTATTTCATTTCGTTTTATTCCAATTTTATTCGTATTTCATTTTCATTTTCGCTTGAATGCACGAAAAGTACAATAAAAATTGAATTAAATGCACTTAAATGATAAAAATAAACGCTGGTATGGCGCCTGGCGTACGGCGAGCAATAATGTGTTGGTGCCTACATACATACATATTTGCACAAAAACTTTAAAAATACATTTTTAGCGATAAATTTCCTACCTTTTCACTTAAACACAAATTTAGTTTCGAAAAAAATAAAATAAATGCTTTTCAATAAAATACTTCTCTTCTCCCCGCATACAGTCATAATTTGTTGTACAACAATTCAATCAATCAATTGTGTAAATATTTACATACAATACATATGTAGCTTAGAGAAAATTGCATTGCGAAAGATTTAAATTTGCTTTGATTTGCAATCGAGTCGCTCAGAATTTAATACAGTTAAAATTATTCCCAAAAAAAAAAAAAATACTTCAGTTTGCAAAACTTTTATTTCTCTCTATTTCAGTACCACAAATTACAACTGTATGTAAGTACAAATATTTGCTCATTTTTGCATACAAATGTACATTTCGATCGATGGGGAAACAAACCAAGTCTTTATTTTCAAGTAAATTAAATTCGTAATGAGCCATGTTAAATAGGACAAATTCTTGAAGAATGCATATGCCTACATACATACATGAATTCTCGATTATACTTTTAAATGGCACTGAATACATTTGTTTACATAAAAAAAGTTCTGCAAATTGCTAACTGACCCGATCCCGCTATGGCCGAAAAATTAACTTTATCATAAACATTAGGGCTATCCATTATGTTTAAAACTGATGGGCAAGTGAACGCAGCGCCTGCTTCGAATGAATTCCTGCCGAGACGCCCAATTTTCGAACACTTTTGGCAGCAATTGTGAACGTATGTCAGCAATAACACACCGAATATTCTCTTCCAAAGGCGTCAATGGTAGCGGGTTTATAGTCATAGACATGTGACTGCACATAACCTCACAAAAAATAGTCCAGCGGTCTTAAATCGTCCGTTTTTGTTTGCCACGCCACAGGCGCCCAATGTGAGATAATACACACACCAAAAGCTTCCTTAAGTAAGTTGAATACTTCGTTGACTGCAAGACATGTAGCACATCAACATCCTTTAACTCAGGCACGAAAAAGTCATAATCGATGGCTCTATAGCTATCTCCATAGACTGCAGCATTATGGCCGGCTTCATTTTTTGAAGAAAAATATACCAATGATTCACTCTGCCCATAGAGCACAACAAACAGTGACCTTTGGAGTTTGTAATGGTCTCTCAATAATGGCTTGTGGATTATTATCACTCCAAATACAACGTGGTTCGGCTTCAATGCTTGTACCAGTTTGATTTTGTAAGCCCGCAAGCCAAGATCCTTTCGAGAAATCTGTCAATAAAGAGGATTTATTCGGTACTCTGCCCGACTGCTTTCTTGTATTGTGGTTCGTTCGATCAGCACAGTATAAAAATACATCTGCTTAGTTATATAAAACTGTGGGACTTGTTCGCGCTCAAACAGACGGACATCAACTCAGCTTGACATTCTGATCCGATAGGTATAAATTTTGAAAGGTCTCTATCTGCCTTCTGGTACTTACATACTTCATGAAGGGTTTAAAAAATATTTGTGCGATTTTTCAGTTTTGAAGTCTGTAACAAACGTGAATCTTTGACTAAATTTACTACAAAAAGCGATTCTTCGAATTTGATTTCATCTCAAACGGATCTTATAACTAGAAATCTTTCAACAAAATGTATATTTATTCGTCTACATTAATGTTGTCGCCTAAAAATAGTTCCCAATAGATATTATGCCCTTGAGCCAAAGTTTCTTCCAATCCACGAGCACTCTTTAAGCTCGATCTTTGAGATGGCCTTTAGTTCTATCAACGATGTGCTGTAAAACAACGGATTTTCATGGCTTTTGGAAATAGAAAAAAGCCACACTGAACCACGACTGTGTCCTCGTTTCTGTATTATTTTTGTCGAAAAAATCACGAGTAAACAATGCAATGTGGGTAGGGTCATGATACAAACGCCGAATTGTCATGACATGATCCAAGCGATATCCAACATCGAAACAAATTCCAATCCAACAGCTGTCAAAAGTTAACTAAAAATTAAACTCTTGGTTGGCAGCTAAGTCAGTCTGAATTATTGCAAAGGCATAAAACACCTGACTACAGGCAACTACCCAATTAAGAAAAAGACCATTCAAGGTCACCAGGGATCACCCTCAAATACCAGTAGACTTATGGAATCTATTAATTGTCATTCTGACTTTGCAAACTCCCTTATCTACAGGTTATGATGAGGTACTCGTAAAGGGTAATTTTTTAACAACTATAGGAAAGTTTTTCAAAAAACTCATAAAATTCAGAAAACTGCTTGAAATCTTTATTTGAATCGATAGTACGGTTCATATAATTTAATTTTTGAAGATCATTTCATGCAAATGTTGACCGTGACTGCACCTCAAAGGGTCCATCCGCTTCGGCATACTCTTTCCAACATTTCGGCCAGTATCTCACGAATATATTCTTCAATGTTGCCTTCAAATGCAGCAATTGAAGCGGGCTTGTCTGCATAGAGATTAAATTTAACATAGCCCCACAAAAAATAGTCTACGGGCGTTAAATCGCACAATCAAGGCGGCCAATTGACAGGTCCCGAACGTGAAATAACATGTTGTGGCACCGTCATGTTGAAACCACATGCCATGCAACACGTTATGATTCGCATCATCTTCGAAGAAGTATGGTCCGATGATGCCACCAGCCCATAAGCCACATCAAACTGTGACTTTTTCTGGATGCATTGGTAATTCGTGCAATACTTCTGGCTGATCTTTACTCCAAAATCGACAATTCTGCTTATTTACACACCCGTTAAGCCAAAAATGAAATTCGAAGCGAGCGCGGAGCCCGCATTTTCATAATAAAATGTAATAATTTGCAAGCGTTGTTTGTTTGTAAGACGATTCATAGTTGAATTATAGACCAAGCTGAAGATGTTTGACGGTGATACAGAAAACGAAGCTTGCGCCAGCTGTTTAAACCAGTGTTGCCAATAACATAATAGCTAAAAAATCACACTTTATGTGAATAGCGAGAAGACAATCCACATATATATCCAATGGTTATCGGCTTAGGCTTGAAATTGTTGAAGAAGTGTCAAATTTTTCAATACAATGAAAGCAGTATTTTGATGGTTTTTTTGTATTAGAAAATAAATACAGCGATTCAAATAGATGTAAAATAGATCAGCTCCAATCCATTCTTCTATCACAAATCTAACGGTAATTTTTTTTCTAGTCTTTGTAGTCTTAATTATTGTAGAAACAGCAAACAACTAACCAGGGACAATTTCCCAATTAAGAGATCGACCATTCAAGGTTGGCAGTTAACGCGCTCAAATGCGGGGAGACTCATTGAATCTATTTATTGGTGCTTAATTTCAATCTTTATTTAGGGTATGCCAAGCCCGGCGTACAACTCACAAGGAGTTCACCTCGTCTCTTACAGATGCTTTTGTACTACACAGAAGCCACTTTGTCCAAGACGGGCAATCGTGACAGTCCAAAACCTCCACAAAAAGTTCTAAACTCTAGACTAGTGTCATTCTAATCTTTTCCTCTTTGGCTTACGAGTATACAAAGTATTTCGGTATGCAGCAAAAGTAATTCCAATTACCAAGTGTAAACTGTTCGCAGACAGATCACATTACTCACGCTTTAACAAAGGGCTTTTGAACCACAAAAGCAATATTTATTTACATATGTATACATGAAATTAATGCCAATAAGAACAAATGACCATAAACTGAGCTCTAAACGTAAAGACGCGCCTTACCAACAAAAGCCGCATTGAATGACGATCGTCGAACGTAAGAAAATGAAATGGCAAAGACATAGGCCATTCGCTTAGGGCTCACTCATTACACATGCAAGTACTTATATACATATACGTATACATATACAAATAAGTTCGCATTGTGAACTATTATTTATGTAGTTCGCAGTTGTGACTCACCGACGGGGGCACCAAGCCAAAGCGTCTGCAGACCATCATAGACCACTTCGTATAGACTTCGAATGGTGAGGACTTTAAACGGTGGTTGAAATAGGAGAATGCGAGATATTTGAGCAAAGGTTGTCTGTAGATGTTAACTAACATTTTTTTCTCAGGCAATTTTCCATTATTTTTCATAGTGAAGCGTAATATGAATTAACAATATTTATATACGTATTATCTTAGCATTATAATTTCTTTGCGGTGGTTGCTTGATTTTTGTTTCGATCAACCCACAATATACCGTCAACCAATCTCATCATTAATTGTAATATAAGTATGTAGACCATCTCGTTTCATCGTAAACACATTCAAATTGGTGCGTGGTAATCATATGCCACCGCAGTCATCCACTCACATACTCGTACATACCCAAAAAGAGGTATAAAGCTCGCATGCGCCGGCGCAAATGTTTATTTTTACGATTTTCTTTTTCTTTTTTTTTTTTTGTCATTTCCGCTTTGTTTTTAAATGCGAGACTTTGAGACTATGACCAGAGAACGTAAATATAACGAGAAGGTTCAGGGCGTGCCGATTGTCATTTTGTTCCGCTTTGCAGTCGACGCCAGTTTTCTATGGATGCATTTCACCCCAGATTTCGATGAGCCCTGTTCACCACATTTTAACAGAGAACTAGCAGAATTGTGCTCAAAATAGTAGAATGAGTACAATAATGAGAATTTCCATGCAAAATAAATGTAAAATGATAAAAACCTATTGAAGATAAATGTAAACAGCATACATGTATTATCAGAATTTTCTGATTTCAATTTCTGTTTATTTGCTTATATTAATTTGCAAATTTACTAATTTTTGGAATTAACTATTTTATTTTTATTTACTTACATAATTCTAATTTTTCTAATAATTTTTTAATAATAAAATTATTGGTAGTCATTATAATTAAGATATAACAAAACAAATTTAGTTTAATTCTTTCATATATTATTCATTTTTGGCGTAAATATCGAAATAAGTAAACAAGTCAATATTCATTCTTTCATTTAAACGTATGAGCGTGCGTACATACATATGTACATATTATATATGTATGTACATTTGTTTGCTTATGCGTATTAAGAAGAAGCAAAACGTACACATCTAGCAAAAAAAAAGCCATGCCATCACCATGACAACAGTATTTTAATAGCAAAAAAGTCCTTCTCGAGACGAACGCTGGCGCACCGTCTACCAAACGAGCTGCGCAGACAGCACACAACGTCGCGAAGAAATCGCTTGTGGTTGGCGGGGTATAAGAGCAAGGGCTCGGGCATTATTAAGATTGTGTGCGTTTTGCGTATACATATTAAATTGCTTGCATGTATGGGTTTTCACTTTGCGTGAGTTCAACATCAATTTTTCGATTTTTGCTAAAATCTGACTTCGACTTGAGGAAACTGTTTGTTGATGAAGAGTCGAAGGAAAG